CAGGCTGAATATACTTCTGTATGTTTGCATTAAGTGGCTGGATTGTCCCTTTGGAAGGTATCTCCATCTCTTTCATTCCTTCACCTGTTTGTGCCTTTCTTTTAAAAAGTTGTACTTACCTATTATGATCTTCTCGGAGTAATTATTTCTCTTCTAGTTGTTTTCCTTTTTTTTTTTTCTTTAAAGTAGGCTCCACGCTGGGCTCGAACCCACAACACTGAGATCAAGACCTGAGCTGAGATCAAGAGTCAGGTGCTTAACCAACTGAGCCATCCAGGTGCCCCAGTTGCTCTCCTTTTAATATACACGAATTCTTGGGGCTCCTGGCTGGCTGTAGTCATAAGAGCATGAGATTCTTGATCTCAGGTTCCTGAGTTTAAGCCCAGTGTTGGGTGTAGAGATTGCTTAAAAATTTGAAAAAAATGCACGTTTTTTGTATCACTTCTAATCTTAGAATGCTTTCCTGCCTTTAGGTATTTAACATATATCTACCTTCAGTTTGGGTTTCTCTTTTTTTTTAAATACTGGTCCCCTTCCTTTTCATGCAATAATCCTTTAACCTAGTTAGGTTTTTATTCTGGTATTTGCTATCAGAATTTAAACCTATTAAATCTATGCCTTTAACACCTCTTATTTAGTTTGATGTCTTAAGTTACTAGCAAAAAATAAAGCCTATTTCTGTTTCTTGGATCTGCCAATTTGCCAGTACAAACAAGCAATATTTAAAAGCTCCCGAGTGACTTGTTTATTTAGTAATACTGTTAAGAATAAATGAACAGGGTGCCTGGGTGGCTCAGCTGGTTAAGCGACTGCTTTCGGCTCAGGTCATGATCCTGGAGTCCCTGGATCGAGTCCCGCATCGGGCTCCCTGCTCGGCAGGGAGCCTGCTTCTCCCTCTGACCCTCCCCCCTCTCATGTGCTCTCTCTCTCTCATTCTCTCTGTCTCAAATAAATAAATAAAATCTTTAAAAAAAAAAAGAATAAATGAACAAGTTGAAGACAGTTTCTTAGACCAATGACGTCCAAATCAAACTTGCGATTTAAATGTTCCTTGTAAAAGAAGTCAAAATCTCTTCCTACCCCATGATCAGAATCATTCTGTATTTTGGTTTAAATGGATTGATTTTAAAAAAAGGGGGGGAGGGGTGGCACCAATTATATGTATATTTTAAAATAACTTACTGCTCCCCTAAATTTTATGGTAATTGACTGTGTTCCTCCTTCCTTCTTCAGTATTCATATTAAGAACAGAAATCATGGGGCGCCTGGGTGGCTCAGTTGTTAGTCGTCTGCCTTTGGCTCAGGTCATGATCCCAGAGTCCTGGGATCGAGCCCCGCACTGGGCTCCCTGCTCTGCGGGAAGCCTGCTTCTCCCTCTCCCACTCCCCCTGCTTGTGTTCCCTCTCTCTCCGTCAAATAAATAAATAAAATCTTAAAAAAAAAAAAAAAATCAGTCTTCATACTATCTGCTGCATTCTTTAATATAAAAGCTCTTAAATGGCAGCATAAAGATTATGTGGTTGGGCTGTTTACTTCATTAACATTTTGACCAACTGCAAGAAGAAATCAAGTGCCTCGGGACACCTGGGTGGCTCAGTCGGTTAAGCATCTGCCTTTGGCTCGGGTCATGACCCCAGGGTCCTGGGATCTAGCCCCGAATCGGGCTCCTTGCTCAGTGGGGAGCCTTCTTCTCCCCCTACCTGCTGCTCCCCCACTTGTGCGCGCTCTCTCCCCTCTATGACAAATAAGTAAATAAAATCTAAAAAAAAAAGAAAAGAAAAGAAATCAAGTGCCCAAAGCACCATGCACCCCATCCCCCAGAGTAGTGTCCTTTGCTGGCATTTCAAGGTTACTTCTTTACCCTGTGGGGAACTTCTCAAAATCTCAGTATCTGTCATCCTTTCCATTGCTTGGTGACCAACAAAGGAAAAAACACTTGTAGATTCACACACAAGTCTTATTATCTCCTTATAAAAATAAACAAAAGCATGCCCTGTGCTAGATAGTAACTTCTTTTTCCAATGTCTTCCAGGAGTATTTTTCCCCCCCCAGGAGTATTTTTTAAATGGCTTTGAGATGCGTCCCTGAGACAGGAATTCTACCTGAAGCTTTTAGAACTGTTTTCTCCCTTAATAAAGCAGAGGTTCAGTTAAATATTCACAGAACACATGCAAATTCCTCCCCATTCTCACTCAATCAGTTTCAGTTACCCACAACTGACTGATCTTACCCATTTGCAAAATACTTACAATGAAAAGTGGGTCATACCTACTTCTGACCTTGGGGACAGAGCTTGTTTATAGTGTTCACATGGGAACAAACTGGCTCTTCAGGCAATGATTTTTGAGCAAAACTAACTTGTTCTCAATCTTTACCTCAACTTCCCTTCCCCCAAAGGCATGCGCTGGCATCAGTGTGCTCCGAGGGAAAGAGGGGCAATGTTTTCTCCACCAACACCCAGGGGACTTCCTTCTTAACACATAGGAGCCTCTCCACTTTCATTAGAGGGTCCCCAGATAGTCTTAGGAATGGTCAATGTATTGAGAACCTGTTAAGAACATTCAGACAGAGGGGTGCCTGGGTGGCTCAGTTGGTTAAGCGACTGCCTTCGGCTCAGGTCATGATCCTGGAGTCCCGGGATCGAGTCCTGCATTGGGCTCCCTGCTCAGCGGGGGGTCTGCTTCTCCCTCTGACCCTCTTCCCTCTCGTGCTCTCTCTCATTCTCTCTCTCGCAAATAAATAAAATCTTAAAAAAAAAAAATTTAAAAAAAAAAAAAAAAGAACATTCAGACAGAAATGGGTAGCCAATCCTACCCCAATCTTCAGAACACTAGCCGAGTATAGGTTCTAAAGAATTATAACCAAGAGCCACAAAAGGGTACCCTTCCCCTGCCCCACACACTTAGTTACACAAGGACTTTCAAGAAGTCAATTCACAATTGATGCAGTTGATGTTCAGCAGGTGTACCTGGATGTGGCCATATAGATTATTAACAAACTGAGCCTTCCACCTCAGCCCAAATATCCATCTGCCACTTGTCTCCTCCACCCAAAATGCCCATCAGGCACCACAGTACCAACTCACATTTGAATTTCATCCTGGGGTTCTTTCTGCTGCTTCTTTTTTTTTATTATTTTTTTTTAAGATTTTATTTATTTGATAAGAGAGGGAGAGAGAACACAAAGGGAGAGGGAGAAGCTGACTCCCCAATGAGCAGGGAGCCTGATGAGGGGCTCGATCCCAGGAGCCCGAGATCATGACCTGAGCTGAAGGCGGATGCTCAACCGACTGAGCCACCCAGGCGCCCCCCGAGGTTCTTTTCACTACTCACACAGCAGACGCTCAGTGAACACGGACTAGATTTGTTGTAGGAAGTTAAGCACTGCAGACAAAACCTTCTGCACGTCAACTTCTCTCTCCTCTCCATATAAAGTTCAAATTTCCACCTCCTTGACATCTCATCATTTTAACCACAGAGCTCTCCTTAAGCTTCCAGCAAATTATGACAACTCATTTTTGTCTCCAGAGTGGTGGATCCCAGGAAGCGGAGAGCACCAGCAATTCTCTCAAACATGTTTCAAGGACCCTTGAGTGTTCTCAATCTCCAAGGAGAGAAAGGAGTTGGTAAGGTAATACCACATTCTGGGGGCAGGACCCAGACAGCAGGTCTTTAAGTTCCCCCAGGTGATGCTGACAGCAGCCAGAATCCAGGAGACAGCAGCACCGTAAGGCAAATGACCAGGTCCTAATGGTAGTGGGATAAAAAGGGAAGCCACAAACCATTTCATCCACAGGGACAAGTTCACCAAAACAGAAATAAAATAGAACTATGCACGAGTGTGGATGCTGGCAAACAATAATTTACGAGCGACCAAGAGCCACTCCAAAGGCATATAAAAGAAAGCAGGCCACTCTGGCCTAAGAATATGCCAGAATTAGTCACTGCAGAAACACAGACTCTCAAACCTCTAATTGTATGAGTTGAGTATCAGATAATCTGAGTCTTCAGAGAGACTACTTCAATACCATGCATAGGAATATGATAGCTGCTGAGAAACTTACCTTCTGCCCCTTCTTTAGAGCACATGATCAATTCTTCACCATATCCAAAAAAAGGGGATCTTATTTTTTTTTTTAAGATTTATTTATTTATTTGACAGAGAGAAAGAGAGCACAAGCAGGGGGAGTGGGAGAGGGAGAAGCAGACTCACCACTGAGCAGGGAGCCCAATGCGGGGCTCGATCCCGGGACTCCGGGATCATGACCTGAGCTTAATCGACTGAGCCACCCAGGCACCCCAGGATCTTATTTTTTAAACAATTCACTTATTCAAATACTCTAAGAATGTAAATAACGGTTTCCCATTCAATTTTTGCTCAACGATTAGCAATGTTTCCTGATTTTCAAGCTTTATCCTACCAGATAAGGAAAACATCTCATGATTTTTTCCTTTCTTGAAACCTTGTCACCTGGACAAGATTTTAAAATCATTTCAGGCATGCCATCACATAGCTGTAAAAGAACTTTTCTATGCCCCAAAGTTACACGTGTCCCTTCCTAACCCCAAAGGGATGGAGACTCAACAGAAGCAAGGGTCTCAGTTACCAGGAGGTGACTTCATTACTTAGGGAAGAGTCTGCGATAAACTTCTGTTGCTCACTTATTTTTCACCGATAAATCAATCTGAACAGCAGAGGTTATCCATCTGGAAAGCGTTAAGTACCCAGTCCTTCTGCAGTCCTGACTGAGGGATGCTAATGCCCACTTGGTATCTGGGAAGGGGGCCGGATGAGAAACCGGCAGATGAGGTGGTGGGGGCCCAGCTAGACAAGCCGTGACTGGCTAGTCGACTTCGGCCACACCCCTCTCGACTTCGGCCACACCCCTCTCATCTTCCTGAACCCTCCACCTCCCCAAGGGATTACTGCTGTGTGGATGTCACATGAGCTCATTTGGGTCATTGTTCCATGCTCCCACGCACTGGAGCCTGCCCAGTAATCTACACATGCCATCTGAAAGGGAGCGAGAAAGGTTTTCTGTGTAAGAAAGAACAAGGGAAACAGGTGAAGGGCGGGTTAGGACTGACCTGGATTGCCTGGCGGCCCTGCTGCGCGTCAGCCAGCAGCTGGATGGTAAGTGCCCGCGAGTCCTGCAGCGCCTCCTGGAGGTAGATGAAGCTGTGGCCCCCGTGCCGGCCCATCGTACACTCACGACAGATGGGCACCGAGCAGGTGTCACAGTACAAGTGCAGCACCTGCGGACCAGAGAGCGGACAGGCATGAAGGAGAGATTCGGGACTAGCGGGGAGGGGGCAGCCGCGGGGGTGCTCTGTGGATTCCAGACCCTCAGCCAACTCCTTCCCAATAAGCAAGCACAGTCAACGTGAGCACAACCGGCCCTCCTTACGCCCTCGGCCCAGATCAAGGAGAAAACAACCAGTGCCCTCTGTCCACTCCAGTTTCATTCAGAAGTATAACTGAGACGCTGCAAAGGCAAAGATGAACTAAAACAATCCCCCTGGCATAAGAGATTTTCCCCTGTATCTCAGATTAATTACCCAGAAAAGTTCTGAGATTGTGTTTCCTTGGTCTGAGACTGGGGGCCCAAATGAAAGAATATACCAGAAAAATCTGTCTTGCCACCCCAGTCTCTGGGTCTGTGAAACATGGCTAGGAGTCAGAATTACCCTCACACCACAGCTTGCAGCCACCCTCCCCATCAAGGAGATTAGTTCAAAGCGCAAAGCATGGTTCTCCCAGGCACTCAAGCAAGCTACAGGCTGAAGCTTCTGGAAGGAAGGCAAAAAGCTAGTGGTAAGGTCAGCCAGCTTCTTGTCTTTCTTCTTCCTGCCAAGTTGGTCCAAGGAGTTGACCCTGCCAGGCAGCCCGTGCTGACAGAACTGCTTTATGTGATGTTCTGTATTTCCCTGGGGCCCAGCATGCTGGGAGGGGAGAAGGGTTGGCACAACCTCCACCTGCTGATGAATGAGGAGCTCTCAAGAGCGAAAGCTCCTTGGCACCGAAACTGGGCCAGTCTAGCTGTATCCCTCCACAAAGCAGAGCACTTAGCACCACTCTGTGTAAATGTTTGCTGGATTGCTTTCAAGAGCAGTGCTTAAATTTGCCGTTGGTATACCTGGGTGTGAGGAAAAGCCAGCCAACATGCAACAGGCAGGGAAGCGGTGTCCGAGGGGCTGCTTTCTCACACACAATACGCTTAATCCCCAGATGAAGACAAGAGGTCATGACGTCTTGGGGCCACACAGCAAGCAGGGGCAGAACAGGGAGGCCAACGTGAGCCTTCTGAAGAGCTGGTTCCGAGACATTCCTGACACCAGCTCTTCAGAGCACTAAGCACCTTACTAGGTATCATGGAGTCCAGGATGTGAGACTTGAGGCAAGGTGATTCTGTGTGGAACAGAACAGGAGCTCACCCTGGCCCAGAAGGAGGCAGAGTGTTACAGGACACGGAGATGGGGAGGGAGGGCTGCAATGCTCCCATTAAAAAGACCCACAGGGTAGGAGTGAGAATGCTGCTTCTCTTCTCTTCAGGTTATATCTTAAAGATTCACTTATTTGAGTGCACGTGCTATCGTGTGAGTGGGGGGAGGGGCAGAGGGAAAATCTCAAGCAGACTCCCCACCGAGCCCATAGCCCTGACCTGGTGAGATCATGACCTGAGCAGACAACTGAGGGAGCCACCTAGGTGCCCCCCACTTCAGGTTATTTTATTAACTAACCAACACATTGGCACAGAGCATGTCCACTAGGAAACCGAGCTCAGTCAGGGAAACAGGCCTATTCGACTCAGGATTCAGAGAGTTAAAAGGGAGGTGAGTGATCCTGCGTGGGTTAGGCTGCTTCTCCAGGAACTTCTGGATTCAGAAACAGGGAAAAGATTTAGGATATTATGTTCCTATTTCTAGGAAATGGTCCTGATATGGCAGGTTTTATGGGCTCCATATTGTAAGGGGGAAATGGGATCAGGTTTGTGACTGGACTAGGACGCCTTGTCCTGTACAGTAGTTCTCCAGCAACCTCGGGAGACTGAAATCTGGTGACAGTAATTTGCCTTCAAGACCAATTGTGTTTTTGCAGGGGAGGGGGGTAACAGAGGGAGAGAGAGGATCTCAAGCAGACTCCACACTCAGGATGGAGCCTGACATGGGCCTCGATCCCATGACCCTGAGATCATGACCTGGGCTGAAATCAAGAGTCAGACGCTTAACTGACTGAGCCACCCAGGCGCCCCAAGACCAATCACTTTTTAAAACAGGTTCACCATTTAGAGTTGATCTAATCTTTCTAATCTGATAAAGCTAAAATTCCCAAGCTAACCTTAAATACTAGCCAAAAGATGCTGAACTGGTAACTTGGGAGGAATTTCTGGACAGTCTCTTTTTACAATGTTCTGCTACAGCAACCCCCGCTCCCGTTTCAACAACTCGACCTCATGCCTTCCCTTTGCTTCCTCCCTTTGTCATAGGAATAAAGGTATCACTTCTATGATGCCCATGTGAAGTGTGAAAACCTCCATCTGCAGGTTCCTTTTACATCTGAATGGAACATGTCTCTGAACCTTCTGTCCTCTGCCCCTGCCCAACAGCTAAGAATCTCCTCTTCATCTCTTCTCTGAACAGCTGTGTGGACTGACTGGAGGCCCCTTGCTTTCTATAGTCTGTGCAAGCATAACCGTTCTCACTTGTACAGTGAGTGGAAAAGAACCTGAGGGTGTTAGCCCGAACCTGGCATCATCTAGCCATGGGGCCATCCATCCAGTCACCTGACTGGGCTTGGCTCATATATGAAACACAAGGGGTCTGGCTAGGTGCCTCCAGAGACCACTTCCATCCCTGAAATCCCAAGAGCCCTATCTCAGGGACTCAACAGCACAAACCAAAAGGCTTTGAAATAATTCTGAACCAGGGCGCCTGGGTGGCTCAGTTGTTAAGCGTCTGCCGCCTTCGGTTCAGGTCATGCTCCCAGGGTCCTGGGATCGAGCCCCGCATCGGGCTCCCTGCTCCGCGGGAAGCCTGCTTCTCCCTCTCCCACTCCCCCTGCTTGT